CCCTCATACGGCTTGATGGGTTGCCCCCGATATTTGTGGGGGATTTTGGCCGCCAACACCCTTGGGGTGAAGGGTGTTCTAGTACGGAGTTGAATGAGGGGCTCGCCTGAGCCCTCGGCAAGTTTACGTCTCATTTCCTCCACCTGTGCCCGGAGGTCAGCGTATTCTGGATCCGGCCTCGCTGTGGAAACCGTCGGGGGTGCCTGACGGTTCTCCTCGAGCTGACGGAGTAGGGCTTCAATTAATTCGTCCTTGGGATCCTTCGGGGCAACCCCTTGGGAGTTGGCCCGGAAGGATTGCGCCTGATTGATTTGGTGCCTGGCGTCATCGGCATGGAGGAGGGCTTTGCCTTTGCTTTGTGGGGGAGGCACGCCCTCGGCGCCCGAAGCAGAGGCTCCGCTCTCCTGGGGCCTGCTGAATTCCTGTTTGCCGAGGCGGTCTTGGACCCCTCGGCGTATGGGAGCTCCCCCAAGCCTCTCAAGTGCAGAGGTCCGGGGTTTCTCCTTCATCAAGGGACGTTTATCCCTGGATTGGGCCTCTTGGGAGGCGGTGTCCTGCGCCATGACCCCTTCGGCGTTTCCAATCCCCGGGGGAGGATTGGTGAACAGAGGAGGGAGTGGTGGCAACTGAATAACATTTCCTCCAGCGTAGGGCTGGAGGGGTGCCTGAGAGACGAGGGCTCCGGAATTGAGAGCCATGTTTTGAACAAAGGCCGCAAAGGCAGCTTGAAGATCGATGGCCGGGGCCGGAGGGGGAACTTGGTTCTCACTCCGATCCCTCCTTCGATTATCAAGGCCAATGCGGGCATCAGGGGTATTCCTCTGCAGCTGCTGGCGTAGGTCGGCGGCGGCTTGCTCTAATTCGAGGATGACGCCACCCTCGGGTACTAAGAGCCTGTTGGAGGCCTCAGCCCCGTTGGTTTCGCCGGGGGCTACGTAGTTCTCCTCAAGGTTCTTGGATTGGGCTCGGGTGGTCCTTCCCATTTTTGGTGAGGGCTTGTGTTTGGTAGAGGGGGAGGGTTTCTTACTCGATAGTTCAGACCTCTCAACGAGAGCACCAAATGATGGATAGTCTACCCGGGGGGTGTCTTATCCGAGGGGTTATCACGGGAATAACTAGAGAGAAGTCAGAGCAAAATAGGAGGAGAGAGAGTCGATTTTATTAAATGAACTCGAGATGTGGAGTGGTGTGTAGATCCTGTCGATTACAAGGAGAAATAGGCTGCTATTTATAGCAGCAATAAATGCGATGAGGGGACACGTGTCAGTAATCCAACGGCCGAAGGGTCACATCAGCCTAGTGGCACCGGCAGTGGTACGTCAACCGCATTGAATGCGGTTGGTGGATGCGACGTGGCATTAAATGCGGTGGTTGGCTGTCCCTAAAAGGAATCTTCGATGATTGAGCTTGTTCAGCCGAAGGCACCTTGTGTAGCCGAAGGCTCCTTGCGTAGCCGAGGGCTCCTTGTGTAGCCGAAGGCTTCTTGTGTAGCCGAAGGCTTCTTGTGTAGCCGAGGGCTCCTTGTTTAGCCGAGGGCTTCCCCTGGTGCCGAAGGCATGAGAATGCCGAAGACTCATGTCTTTGCTCGTTTCCTTCCAGTAGCTTCTTATGCCAGAGAAGGCTATCCTGTGAGGTTTGGAGCCTTCGGCCAAGGAGGCCGAAGGCACCCCCAGTGTGTATTCTGGGCCGCTTTGAGGCTTGGGCCGCGGTATTTGGGCCTGAGTTGTTTCCTGAGCTCAACGGACTTGTGTAGGAGAAGTAGGAGTCTATGGGCCGGGGGTTCCTGGGCCATATACTCCATCAAGGAGCATATGCTCCCAATAAATTTTTAATAATTATTGATCAAGAGTAATATGCATTGGGTCACCATGAGTCATCCGGAAACAGTCTCTCCGTGCTTTAGTATAGCGATAAGGTTGCGTACATCCGACCCCTTACTCCACCGTAGGTGGGAACCTTTGCGGCACTTGAGTCATGATGATGAGTGATGAAAATGATGATTAAGAGTAAAGATTAGAATCATTTGCAAACGACTTAAATATGTGACAAGGTATTGTAAATGGTAGATTTATAATTTGTTCCTCTTAAAAACGATGAGTTGGTACTTGGTAGTGTATTGACTAGGAGGCTATATTATTTTTGTATGGCAATGAGAATTTGGCATTGGAAAGGGAGTGCACTTTTACACAATCATTAATAAAATATCACCTTCATTAAAAAAATGTCATTGGAAAGGCCGGGATAGGAATGAATCGAAGCGACAATATAATTAAGAGGCTGCATCTCAAAGAATTGTGAGGGCAAGATCACTCTACCGCTTAGAATACGTTGTCGCATATTTAAGTCGTATATAAAGGATTCTGCTAGCCGCAACATTAATTTTAGCAATTCTTTTTTCAATAAAATGTTAATAAAATAAATCTTTTTATTATAACGATATTTGTAAACAGTTATATCAAAACGATCTAGAAATTTGAGAATTTTGGGAGGCAAATCGCAATAAGTGCTAAATTAAATTAATTAGAGCTATATTAAATTACTGAATGAAATTAGTGAATGAAAAAATAATGTACTGCTTATTAGGTGAAAATTTGTCATGGTAATTAACGTATTATTACATGTTGATTCTTTTTTTTGTGCGTAAAAAAGAATGGCTAACTCACATGATATGATGATAATTTCAAGTTAATTACTAGTAATCGTTTTGGCGACACAATCAGTGGCGCTGGCAAGGGCGAAATACTATTTTTGAGTCAATCGAAACAATAACTTATTCATATGTTTTTTACCCAAATAGATTTACGTCAAAAAAACATTTTTACCGAAACTGTGGCACACCCATATTTGGAATGGCCACCTACATACGTTCTAGTCTTCTACTCTTCTAGATGCAAATTAAATACTTCCTATGCAATATATGTTTATGTTTATCAGTTTACGATAGGAAATTTTTTGGGAATGTAATTTGTTGGTCTGGTCTGATTTGAACTTGTCTGTTCTGATCTGAACTGATTTGATAAATATACCTATCTGAACTGATCTCTATGCATTTTATACCTATCAAAGTCTAGTCTAATCTGGTCATGTCTGGTCTGTTTAAGTCTGATCTGGTCTGATTTAGGACTAAAAACCGTCCAAAAGAAAACCCTCCATGAATATCATTTATGGGCTTGTCGCTAAGTTAAATAGGTCTCTCTCACAATGATCATTAGTTATTCCCTTGGGTACTTATCCAATAGATTAACCTAGCTAATGGAGGAGTAATTCATCATTCATGTAGACGGTGTAGGATGTTGCCCCTATATTAACTTGCCCACGGGAGATATTTGTTACACTTTTAAACATGGGTTAGGTTACATTTGAAAGCTCATGAAATTTAAAGTTCAGCTTTTGTTTGAGAAAAAACTTGTAGAATTGGACTAGCTAGATGAGTTCAATATGAAAATGAAAACATACTAGAGCTTATTTTTTAATTTTGCATATGTTATGCTGACCATTTTTTATTTTTCCAAAAAAAACTGAAAACCTACGTAATTATAATATGTAGGTTTGGGTCGGATTTTTGCTAAATCAAAAAATTACCTGAAAGATCTCGGGTTATGAAAATTGGAGACATGAGTAAGATTAATTGTATTCGTCCGAGTCGGATTTTTGGTAGTCCATGTTTGGTCCGGGTTCAGGTGGGGTTGGTTGAAGCCCTGATGGGAAATCATCACCTTGTTCTTTTATTTTTTTAAACCCTATATTCAAATAAAAGTACTCAAAAATACAAATCACAAATAATAACAAAAATATTAACCTCTGAAATCACCAACAATTCAAATTCAAATAAAATAGTTTATGTTAATATTGCATTTAAGATACATATAAACAAATAATAGAGGTGTATTGAAATATATTAACCATTAGTCATTACTAAATAAAAAATTGGCTAAAGGGTCAAATAGGCCCTTGAACTGACTTAAAGTGTTCAATTAGCCCCTTATATAGGAGGTTCTGCCCGGCCGTCTCTAATTGGGGTGGTTCCCGATTGAATTTTTTGATGAAATTTTTTGAGCATCTTCTTCATTAAGTCTAGTTTACCCATACCAAATTTCAGCTAAAAATTCAACCGGGAAGGCAGTGAAATGATTTTCCGAAATGTACTGTGTTGTTTAACTTCGCAGTTATCTTCAAAAAATCATTTGACTACCTTCCCGGTTGAATTTTTAGCTGAAATTTGGTATGAGTAAACTAGACTTAATGAAGAAGATGCTCAAAATATTTCATCAAAATATTCCACCGGGAACCGCCCCAATTGCGGACGGCCGAGCAGAACCTCCTATATAAGGGGCTAATTGAACACTTTAAGTCAGTTCAGGGACCTATTTGACCCTTTAGCCTAAAAAATTTGGGCAAAAATGTGACTAGAGTTACTATAAATATATTTCCATAATTTCTATGACATATAAATTGAACATGACTCTAGTCACTAAAAGTTATCAAGTCAATTTTTTATCCATTATATTATTCGTATTCGATTCATATATGATGCATTATTTCTAAATAATACAGAGTATATTACATCGGTTTCATATATATTTCAGATACTGGCCGGTTTGGACTGGGTTATAGATGTTACGGGTTGTTAGTGAGCCCGACGTACTTTTCAGGCTCAGTTTTTTTTTTTAATATTTGAGCCTATCCAGGGTCAGTTTTCGAGTTTTCCCACCCCAAAGTAAACAAACACCAACGAACATTTAAGAATTAATCAAGTTAATGAATTGTATGTGAAACACAAACTCATTTAGGCCCTAAATAGGTGCACATATCTACTCATCCACAAAATTAGTGGTGTAAATCGAAACTTACCATATCAAAATTGTCACATACTACACGCATGTCTTTTTGTTTTTCTTTTAGCAATAACGTCATATTAATGTCACAGCTTCTTTGGTTTCTTTCTATATATACGGAACCGTTGCAGAAACCAATGGACTCATAATCATAATCATAATAATCAATACAATAAACAATATGGGTTATTACTGGCTTGCAGTCATTTTTGCTCTTGTGATTTTTTCTCCAAGTTCATTTGCCCTTGAGGATCCATGTATGACCCATAATATTAAAGCCGCGGCGGCCTATAATAACTACAAAGATGCACTTAGCAAAGCTATATTGTTTTTTGAAGGGCAGCGTGGAGGGGTATTGCCTTCTTCCCAGCGAGTCAAGTGGCGAGCCAACTCCTCCCTCTCCGACGGAAAGCCTGATAATGTATGGTATTGGTAGTAGTAATTTATTTGTTGGTTTATTTCGTAATGCATGCTTTTTATCAAAAAAACTGTAAAATTTACATTAGTCTAATTTATTACAACGGTTTTAACAATTTAGATGTATATATAGTAGGTGCACATTTCCTAGTATCAAATTTTAATTAGTTTCCAAATTACCGGAATTTGCAAAGTTCAAGATTGTGATATTTCAAGATTGTAGCCTTATGTTTATCTCCATATGAGTAAATTATTGTCATATGTCAAGTAATTTAACTAAACAGGAGTATAAGTGTATAACAATATAATGTGATACTACCTATTTCTATTTCACAATAGCTTAGGTGTATTATTAGTTTATTACTACCATTTGGAACCGAAAAGAAGTTTTATTGTCATAATCTGACACTATCAGACATTAATTATTAATATTAATCATTGACATTTTTTGACAATAATTACTCTTATTTACATAAAAAGGTAATATTCCTAAATACTTTCATATATCATTGGTATTACTCCTATTTAGGGTAAGAAAAGATTAAAGATCTACTTGTACAAAATTTATACACACTTGTCACACATTTGCACGTACAGACAATGTGTAAACTTTCCTAGCTAGTGGATTGTCTACAATAATTGTTTGTGTATACATACAATTACGTACAAATGTGTGTTAAGCGTGTACGATTTTGTGTAAAGGATTGTTGTTAGGGTATAGTAATATGTAGGCCGCGGTGAATCAAATGACAAACGGTGTTAATCGATGGTAACACGCATGTTTTGTTACAGCCTAAAAAGGTCAAAATGTAGGAAGTTGATTTTTTAAAATTCAATATTTAACCTTTCAAAAAAGAATCAATATTTATTTAAAATACGTTGAATCATTTTAAAAAATTATGAAATTTAACATGTCCTTGGATTTATAGTTTGAATAGTCTTTTTTCCAATGTCTATTGAGATTAAATAACCAATTTCAAAAAATGGTGTAAATAGCTATAAAGAATAATCAAGGGGATCCAAATTAAAAATAAATTTCCAATATTTTCCAAATATTGCGAAGACAAACAAAAGGATTTCCCATTTTTCCAACTGCGTGACAAAAAACTCAAATTTCCCATTTTCCCCTACATACAGATTCTGTTTGGTATGTAGCTTTGAGGCTTTGACCATGCACTAATTATTGGATGCATCTGGAAATTAAGGGAACTTATAGTCGACGCCCAATAGGGCTGTTCCTTTTGCATGAGCTATATGTTTCTTCTGGCATTCCTCTTTGCTATTTTTATCCTTAATTAATCAAATGAACCCTAGCTATGACCTAGCTAGCTAGAAGCTTCTAAGTTACATAGCTTGCTTAGGTGAAATTCCATAATTATATAAACATTCAAAGTGAGTTCGTTATACATCATTTCGATGGTAGTATTTGTTTTTAAGATATAGAAAAGAAATTAAAATAGTGAGTATCATTTTGGGTAGTTATATCATCCATGAAGATAAGTGCATAGTTTTGATTACCAAGTTCAGCCCATTCTACGAGTTCGATCTATTATTTCAACTATTTGAGCAAAAAATACAGATTAGTAACTTTTCGAATGAGCTCAAATCTTTTGACACAGTTTCTCTATGGTCACACATAAATGTTTGGCAAATACGAATATATCAATCATAATATTATGTTGCTTGTACAATATAATTGGTCCGATATATACAAGAGGGGATTAAATTTTGTACTACGTAGTTTTTTTTATCTCCAATTGATAGGTATATTAATTCACCAAATCATGTGCCAGAAGACTTATAATAGTGTCAGGAATAACATCATAACAACAGGACTGATCTGAGATAGCCACATGTGCTCTTGCTAAAGCATGAGCTTAACCAAGAGCAATTATAAGGAGAATAATCAACGATTCGTAGTACTACGTATTTCATAAGGAGAATACGGAGTATTTAGATTTTGTATGATAGGAGAATAATCAACATTTTTTATTAAAAAAAATGTCAATCTATTAAATCAGGCAAATTATTTAAGGAAACAAATTAAATTCAAATCACGATATACTAGTATATTTTATTTGACATGCATGATATTTGCTTGATCGATGCACATGCATGGTCACGAAATAAAACAATTCTATCATAAAATACTGATCAAGTAAATAATGAGACATTATGGTAAGATAAATTAATACTCCGTAATATTTTTTATATATATGGTATGTGTTTTGATACTACGGATGTTTTCTCTTTGAATGTTTTCCATTCTGGATTGGACCAGACCAGACCTAAACAGACCAAATCAGACCAGAGCACACTTTTGTAGTTATAAAATACACAGAATCCAGACATTTACCAGACTAGTTCAGACCAGAACAGATCAGACCAGAACAACACCTCATCATCAGAAAATGGAGGGGCGAATAAAAGATTCTAAATCGTTTAAATTAAACTTAATTTAGCGTAAAAAGTTTCTAAAAGATTCAACCAATCTGTAATTTGTTTGTTTAAGTCTAGTATAAATAATATTCACATTAGCTACGCTAATTCCAATTTATGAATATTCCATCCGAGATGTAAATACGAACGGACTATTTATTAAGTGGCCCTACACGGCTACACATGACTACATGAGTAATATAATCACTTCTAGCTTAGGCTCTAACTAAATGACTAAAAAGAGAACTATTTTAATTAATTTAAGAGTGATTAATTTCGTTAAAATAATTAACAGGTGGATTTGAGTGGAGGCTACTACGACGCCGGGGACAATGTGAAGTTTACATGGCCGATGTCATTTACGGTGACTTTGTTGAGTTGGGCGGCGATCGAGTACCAAAACGGTATTACTTCCGCCGGAGAGATTAACCACCTCCGGGAAGCAATTCGATGGGGGACCAATTTCCTAGTCAAAGCACACTCTTCATCCAAGGGGACAATCACCCTTTATGCTCAGGTATACATGGAATGTTTTTATTTAGACCATTTTCAGTCCCTGACTATAGAGTATACTGGTTGACACTGTTCTGTACTGTATTAAAATATACTCTCTCCGTCCCAAAAAATTGTTCCCGGTTTCCTTTTTGGGCCGTCCCAAAAAAAAATTCCACTTTCCAATTCCCCTTTTGGAAAATTTTGTGTGGCTCACATTCATTTACATTTTTCTTACACAACCATACATTTCCACTTTATTCTCACTCTCTTAAACTCTGATCCAATTCAATGCGAGAACAATTTTCTAGGACGGAGGGAATATTTGTTTACCAAATAAGGAAGTGTGACTTTGTTTTGAAATATTCAAAAAATGAAAGTGTGACTTTCATGGTAAACATCTACATTTTATACCAATCCATCAACCCAATGTTTTACATGGATCAAAAGTATAATTCTTATTTTTAATTTTATAAAATTGTAATGTGAATATGAGATGCATGTGCTTTTATTTTATTGCATCCTTGATCAAGTATCTATATTTTGTTTGATCAAGTATCTATAATTGAGGAATGAATTACTATGATGATAAGGTCGCTGATGGTAACGCTGATCATGCATGTTGGGAGCGTCCGGAGGATATGGACACTCCACGGACACTGTACAAGATTAGTTCCTCTTCGCCGGGATCGGAGTTGGCCGGCGAGGCGGCCGCCGCCCTTGCCGCCGCATCCATTGTTTTCAAGACGGTTGATGCCAAGTACTCGCGTACGCTATTACGCCACTCTAGATCAGTAAGATTGAGCTCACACTACTAGCTAGACGTCTCTTTGTGTTATATATTCAAAAGAGTAAATCTTGATGTACACAATCACAATTTGTACATTATTTGTGTACAGAAACATTTTGCCATAAAATTTTGCCTTCTTTCAAATGAATTATCTTTGTACACGGCCAACTAGAAAATTGAAGTTGTGTTGAAATTGTTTACTAATTTTGATGATGATGATTCGATTTCTTGTACGTGGTTAACATTTTTCAGCTATTCAAGTTTGCTGACCAGAAACAGGCATCTTTCTCTACGTCTTGCCCTTACTATTGCTCTTTCAACGGTTTTCAGGTAATAATAATACGTACAACGTACTACGTAGTAATTAACAAATATTCTGGTCACTCCGATTGACCATAAACCCTTGTGCCACCAAGCCTGTATAAAGGCTTTTGGGTCAAAATTTTGATGAAATTTTGTGAGCATATTCTTTATGAGGTGCATTCTTTATGAGGTGCATAGAATTTCCACAAAATTCTTTCAAAAATTCATATTGGAAAGCCACCTAAATAAATTGTTGAAAACACTGCAAAAATTACATAAAAAACGTTGTGTATATTTGTCATCAACTTATTTAATTGACTTCCCAATTCTATTTTTGATGAAACTTTGTGTGAATATTTTGCACCACATGAAAACCATGTTCAGAAAAATTCATTAAAAAAATCGACCTGAAAGACCACCAAATAGATTTGACCGCACGGCGATTCTGATTAGAAGATACTCCTTCCGTCCCCTTTTAAATGTCCCATTTTACCATATTGGGATGTCCCTATTTAATTGTCTTATACCTTGTTTGGTAAAGTTTGTGTGGCTCAAAATCATTCTTACTTTATCAATTAATATCAACAACACAAACCCATTTTTCTTAAAACTCGTGCCACCCTTCGAGACATTTAAAAGTGGACGGAGGGAGTATACTCCATACTCGAAATATATTAGATAGAAGAAATACTATAATTGCGTACGTATTATGATGATTTGACTTGTTCACTATTATTATTAACGAATTCATAGGAAGTTACTCATAAAAATGATATAATTGTGGCGTGATATATATAACGTATCTTTTTTTGTATGAAAGGATGAATTACTATGGGCAGCTGCATGGCTATATAAGGCGAGTGGAGATCAGAATTACCTGAAATATGTGACCAATAATCAGGGATGGAGCAAATCTGTTTCAGAGTTTAGTTGGGACAACAAGTTTGCTGGAGCTCAGACGTTATTAGCCAATGTACATACGCTAATTAATTAATTCTACACAACCACGTATCACACTTAATTGCTCATTAATTATGTTAATTTGGTTTAATAATTTAATTTACTATTTTCTTAGTAACATATTTCTTTGATACTATGTGTATTTATCGCCAGGAGTACTTTGCTGGAAATAAAAACTTGGAAAAGTATAAAAACGACGCCGAGTCATTCATTTGTGCTTTGATGCCTGGAAGTGGTTCTGTGCAATTTAAAACAACTCCGGGTAATTATCATAAATTTTATTTTTTTGCTTAAGATTTACTATCTCTTAATTCAATAAATTTGATCTAAGATGTTTTTCATTGGACTATTATAGTCTCGGATCATACTAGATCGATTTGTCACATCATACTAGAACTCGATAGTTATAAAAACACATAGAATAAACATTTACCTAACAAAACCAATTCAAACAATACTAGACATAAATAGATGATACTAGTTCAGATTAGACTAAATTAGACCAGGACATGTCAGAAAATTTATATCCATATGAAAGCATCTTAACTCCCAATCCTCGAGAATTCAGATATAATATGATACACTTATTGTTTAATTTTATAACCTTTTAAGTAAACAGAAATGTTACATACTGTAGTAATTACTCCGTATTAAGGATTTTTGTTGGGGTAGTTCTATTGACAGCCCTAAAATTGCTATGCACAGTCCCCAAAATAAAAATAAATTAATAAAATTAATTAAATATCAAGATTACCCTTATTATACTAACACGATTATAGTTGCTTTGACTGGTATGTCATTATTATATACAGAAAAGCACTCATCGAGTAGTCGTTCAATCAAGGCTCTGTAGAAATAAGGCTCTGAAACACGAGATCAGTAATATGTTTAATTTAATTTTACATCTTCCTTCAATTTGGATTGATCAATGAATCTAACTCATACCTTTCATCAATAAAATAGGGAGAAATTACTGAGTCAAGTATATACCGCAAACTTACTTATATGCATTTTTGTTTTAAAATTCGTAGAACAAATTACAAGGAATTGAAAACGTCAAATTGATGAAGTTTGCCTAGAATCAGTGAAGCGTGTAAAGCCAGTTTCAACATCGTGGATAGTGTAAGTGACCAAGTCCTATTTTTGAATAATAAGACCAGATGTAGAGCTACAAAATTACAGGAGTGAAGAAGCTTTGGTTTTCTCCCTCAGCTTCCTAATTTCCGAGAGCTTCGGGAACTTAAATTGAAAAACTAGCTAGGTGTCTCTGGTCAGGTTCATCTGCCAAGTGAAGAAAAAACAGGTTGTTCATATTCAAGGCAGGGGAGATTCACGGCCAAAAACATCCTTTCAAATGGTTGGACAAGATCGGGAGAAAGAGAAGGTAGTCCCATCTAGCTAAGCCTCTGTTTTTGTACTTCATCTTTGCCGAAGAATTCTTCTACGCAGCCAGTCATCCCGATGTGATAAGGTTATAAATGGGTTGTAATAGGGAATAAGGGTATATAAGGGATTAAAGAATAATTTAATTGTTTATCGAAAAAAGTGGCTTTATCTAGTAAAAGGAGGGCTGCATTTAGAATTCCCCGTTTTGTTGTGTTGAATTGTACGAAGTACATGTTTTTATACTTTCCCGGCCCGAGGCTTATAGAGGTGAAATTCTCTGGTCCAGCGGCTCCAGCCCATAGCCCAAAATTCGTAACATAAGCACACACAGCACTGTCAGCCCACGTACATTCCGGGCCAAGAATTAAATTGGGGAGCTCTATTGAAAATAATTACATGGCCTACATATCATCAACTTTTACATTTTTATTATTATAACCATTATTATAAGTGTTTAATCAAAGCCATTTTCATACATATTAAGAATTGAAATTTCATTTTAAGAGGTTGATCGATATAATAGGCTTGGCTAATTTGGCAAAAAATACTAAAACGATGTACAAATATTATCTGAAGTACCACTCTAATTTTATGTCAAATAAAGCAAAATGTAAGCAATTGTAGACTAAAACAATTTGTTTATTAAAATTTTGGTCCTATCTAAGTATATCAAATTGGGTACATTCTTTGTATAAGTTTAAATGTGATATTTATTTAATAGATGATGAAACATGGGTTACGTTAATATTTCGCCACTAATTAAATATAGATGTCACATGTGAGTATGTATGTATATCCAACAAATGTAGTCCTAGACTTACTCTGATCTACCATTACTTCCTTTTATTAAAAGTTCAAAGTTAACATTGAGGCCATTCAAATGAAGAAAGTAGGAATTTGTTTTTTTAATGGGAGTAGTAATTTAAAAATGGCTGAATGTCATATATTTATGATTATAATAATACCTTAAAGTAGAACTGGGCGCGGAGTATATATAACTAAAAATCAGCTTCTATATATTACGGAGTATAAAACTATGGATTGCGAAAAATAACATAGGCATACATTGCGCGAAGTATTTGTCTCACCTTGAAATGACATACTATGTAAAATAATAAAAGTTGGCTATATAAGATCTTTGGCTACTCTTGTCATCAAGTTGAACTTTTAGGATGAAACCACTTAACATAGTATGAGAGTCAGTGGGATTGATTGTCATTTATCGTCCATGATTAAGGGTAGCTCATTAAGAATTTGTTTGACCTATTTTGATTTATTATTTATTTATTTTGGGAAAATATTTGACCTACTTATATAATCTAATATTGTTCAACCCGATTTGGGCTCAGGGACAGGTTGAAGTATTTATTTCACCCCAAAACAATATAAGTTACATAAGACCTTTGATTACTCTTGCAAAATGACACTATGCACTTGACTTTATATCTCGAGTGTGACTACATATATTTTCTAAGGCACCTTCTACGATACCTCCAAAACATTTTAACTTAGCTTAGCTTTTTCATAAATATAATTAGAATATTGTAATTAGGTAATTTAAACATAAATAATTAATGACAAGATATGATGTTATACTTGGACTCTTTTCGGTCCCAGAAAAGATCATAATAACGTAGATGAATCATATGCATGTAAATGTATATTGTTATTATTGTACCACTCTCCATTTTGTAAAAGTTGCTATAAGATATTTTGCTAATTTTTCAGGTGGTCTTCTTTTCATAAGAGATAGCAGCAATTTGCAGTATGCAACAAGTGCGACGATGGTACTATCCATGTACTCGGGGATCCTTGATCGATCCGGCGGAGGAGGAGTTAAATGTGCTTCTGCCACTTTCACTTCCTCACAAATCAAAGCATTCGCAAAGTCACAGGTATCTATATATAAACTCACCAATTAAATTCTACAATGTAACGTAATTCTATATATTACCTGAAAATAAGTGATTACAAATCTGATACTCCCTTCATAACAATTACTCCCTCGTCCCTTTTTATTTAGCCAAACATCTTTTTTCAAGTTAAAGTTGTTCAACTTTGACCGATTATATATTTATATACACGGTAATATTGATAATATGAAAATTATATGAAAATGATCTTTGTTAAAAATATTATCATAAAAGTATAAATTTACTAAGTTTCATATAAATATATTAGTTAGAATAATGGATCAAAGTTTATTACCTTTGACTGGAAAGGTCAAAGATGGCTAAATAAAAAGGAACGGAGGTAGTACTACGTAGTAGTATATATTCTCATGTATGTGGGAAGTTGGTGAGATTATAAATAGTAGTTAAATGGGATTTTGCCCTCAAATAATGTAATAATGTGTTGGAATGAAAGTAAATTCAAAAAAAAATGTAATAATGTATCATTTTCAAAATTATTAATGGTATGATGTGAAAGTTTAGAAATGAAAAGAGTATATAGGTACTACAAAATAAAGAAAGTGTGAAGATCTTTTTTATACGAAGATACTCCTTAGTAATTTAATTTACAAAGAAAACCGTTCTTTCAAAAAATTAAAGAAGAGTATGCTCACAAAATTTTATCCAAACATTCCACCGGAAAGTATTTAAAATGAAAGAGTATATCTTTGAAACCCTAAAATGTTTGCAGGTAGACTACATACTGGGAAACAACCCAAAGAAGATGTCGTACATGGTTGGTTTCGGGGATTCCTACCCAAAGAATCTTCACCACAGAGGTTCATCAATCCCCTCCATCGTGTCGGTTCACCCAGAGAAGATCGGGTGCCAGGACGGATATTACTGGTTGAACTCCGCACAGCCGAACCCGAACGTCCACACCGGAGCAATCGTCGGCGGACCCGACTCTTCCGACAACTTCTTAGACTCCCGGTCGGAATATGCGCACGCCGAACCCACCACATACATGAATGCTGCCTTTGTTGGATCCGTTGCTGCTTTGCAATCAACCTAGCTAGCTAGTATTAAAGAAAATATTGATATTGAATTGATTTCTGATATATTTCAACTTATCATACCCGTAGTGTAGTTAACTAGGACGATGAATACGTAGTATATACTTGGATGGTGTTTATTTATTATATGTTGTGATGGGTTGGGTTGTAATAAACGATACCATTAATTAATAATATTGAAGCATGCATAATTGCATATATAGTGAATAAAGGTAGATTTCTGTCTGGTCTGAATATTTCCAATTTGGACATCGGGAACTTCAATTATTCTTAGTTTAGTCTTTGAAATGGCAAAAGCAAAACAAACTATTCAAAGTCATTCTAAACTAATTTAAAAAAGATTATAATGTAGAAATTAAAGTATGCATGACCTTTCAATTGTCATTCATCATTTGAGGACAAATAATGTTGGTTCCAATGCTCCATAGAGTTGTTACAAACCTAGGCATTTCCGGGAACTAGCCTCCTTTCTTCGATCGTGAATGCGAACAAGGCTATAGCTTCGGTTCTTTGCTTGTAGGGCTGATAGAAGTGATATATTGCATATTTCTACTTAGAAATAGCAATTTCACTTAGGTGTTTAAGGATACTCCACCAATAGATGGAATGGCAGAGATGTTTGGTGTTTCCTCCGGTCAAGAATTAGGTCCTCACAACCACCACTAGTCTTTTTTTTTCATGCAATTGTTCCTTCACTATTCTCTATTCTGGTGTCATAGACTCATAAGCGTAGAGGAACCACACCAATTCATCCCGAACTTGTTGAACTCTATTGAGGCGATGATACTGTTAAAAAATGTGTTTCTTTCTAATTTTCATTGCATAAGCTAATAAAGCCTTATGTTGGTGTTCGTGAATTTAGGGTCGTGTGAATAATGTTTCATACAATATTCACAGTTTGATATCTAAAATTTCAAATTCGTTGAGATAATCAATTTTGAGTATCATTTTTGCGGTCATGTATCACAAGTATGAGTACATTATTCAGTATAATGTTGATTTTTGCACATTTACACACATACACAGTAACACAGCATCAATATTTCTCTCATTTAACTACTCGATGTAATGAAGGTAATCTAAAATATCTGCTCATGAAGGTAAATAGAATTGACCCTCATGATTATAAGTCCTAGTTATTCCTAATTTACTCCAATAATTTTATTAATCGAGAAAAGATGAATATACGTGTAAAACTTATTGCTGATTTTGCAGTAGAAATTTTTTAAATTTTAGGAACGCATGACTGGCCTACTATTGTTAATACTAGTTTTATTAAAAGAGAAAACTCTCAGATAGGCCCTCGTACTTTAACAAATTTCTCAATTAAGCCCTCGCACTTAGTAATCACTCAATGAAGTCCATCAACTAACCAAAATTGCGCAATCAGGCTTTTTAGCCGGTGGGATGCCGGTTTGCCTGTTACCCGCTGAGCTGGACGCCCACGTGTCCCTCCCTTACCCGGCCTTTTAATTGATGTGGCTAAACCACTTATAAACTAACTAACTAAAGCCTAAATCTTAAAAGCTTTACTAACCTTTTAATTCAGATCTAGCCTTCGTCATATTCACAAAACTAACGAAGTCATGATGCAGATGGTTAGAGGAGATATATACTTAGGTCGTGCGTGTTCAAGCAAAGTGTTATGAAGCGCTGTTAGGGTCGTTGTTCGAAGACGCAAGTTGCTGCGAAGTACTGCGAAGTCCAGTAAGGTACCTTCTTCTACCTACCCTGTTAATATTTCGATTTTGGTAGTAATTCTGCTATGCGATTTGTTCTGCACTTTCAAAGACCTGCCTTATTATGTGTGTTGTGACTAATGTTTGGACATATTGTCATGATACAACCCCAATGCTGACCCTTTAAGTACTTCAATTTTGTGCACTTGGAGAACTGAAGTTTGTGACTTTGTGTAATTAAAGCTGACACTTTAAGTAGCTGACCCTTTGACACATTTTATACTTTAACTAATGGCCTATGCTTTAGTTAGATGTCATGCTTTAATGTGTTGGTGTTATATTTCTAGAATGTAGAATGTGTGAAGTTAAATGATGTTGTTATGTTGTTATATTTGTAGAATGTTTGACACAGTTGAACTACTACTACACCATGGGGGGAAATTCAACTGTGATGGTCACGACATGTATGTTGGAGGGGTAGTTGAATGCATATCTGCAGATCCTGATGTCATAAGCTATCCCCATTTGAAGAAGTTCTTAGAAGGTAAAAGCAATGCCTCCATTAGAGGTATATACTTCAAAACACCAAGCTGCAATATGAACTCCTTACAAGAGCTGTTTGATGATCAGACCGCACTAAAGCTAATACAATTAGCAGTAAGTTGTGGAAAGTGTGAGATCTATGTAGACCATGCAAACGAACAACTACACATCCAAGAAGATGAACCAAATGCTATAACAGAAGATGTAGGTGAGGCAGAAGGTGATGAAGTAGACAATGATGTTGAGGCTGAAGTTAATGATGATACTGATGTTGGGAGTGATGCCCCAGGAGATGAAAGTGAGGTGGAGGAAGTACATACTAGATCAGATTCTGAAGCAGACAATGAGGATGAAGAAGAAGAGGTCCTACATGATGTGGTAGTCATGAACAATAATACCACACAAATGACAGAAAATGATCAAGTAATGGAACATATCCTAAGGCATGAGCATGGGGATGACAATGAAACTGAAGCAGACAAGGATGAAGAACAAGAAGATATGATTCTACATGATGTGAATATTCAGAACAAAAATTCCAAAGAACAGGTTGATGATAATGTTAAAGATATGGAAGAAGAAGGTGATGATGAGGATGACACTACTGAATATGACTCTTCTAACCCACCTAGCCTGCATTCAGATGATGAAGAAGAAATGAAGTCCAAAAGGTCAGTCCATGGGAATGGTTGTTATAACCCCGAGTCAGATCCTCCCCATTTTAAGGTGGGCATGCTGTTTGAGGATGGTAAGCAATTTAAAAATGCTATGGTGAGATATGTTGTGTATCACAAGAGAGACATAGTCTTTGTTAAGAATGAGCCATTGAGAGTCAGACTGAAGTGTGCCATCACTTGCCCTTTTGCAAGTACTGCTTCATGGGAAGACAGGTTAAAATGCTTTCAATTGAAAGTGTGGGACTCAACGCATTTGTGTAACCTCAAATTCAAGCTTAGAATAGTCAGCCAGAGTTGGATTGCTGATACCTATGAGGAAAAGTTGGCAGAAAAACCATCCATGACTGCTGCAGAGCTTAAGAACTTGCTTAAGGATGAACATAAACTCAGTGTGTCCATTAGTATGGCTTCAAGAGCATTAAAAATAATGCAGGACAAAACACAATCTGCTTTTAAGGACCAGTTCAGGAGAATCAGAAACTATGCTGAAGAAGTTTTGAGATCAATTCCTGGTAGTACAGTAGTCATTAAAACTGATAGACTTGTTCCTGATGCTCCTATGGTCTTTCAGAGGATTTATATGTGCCTTGGACCAGTAAAGAAGGGATTTTTGGAAGGGTGTAGAAAGGTTATTGGCTTGGATGGTTTTTTTTTAAAAGGGCAGTTGAAGGGGGAGATTTTAAGTGCAGTGGGAAGAGATGCGAATAATCAAATGTACCCCATTGCTTGGGCAGTAGTAGAGATTGAGAATACTTCATCATGGACCTGGTTTTTAGAGCATCTGAGGGAAGACCTGCAGATGAACAACCCTGGTGATTGGACCATTATAAGTGATCAACAAAAAGTAAGCTTGTTAATAATACAATGTTACTCATGTTTATAAATTATTGCTCAATTCATCATATTTATTAACATTTACATTTGTATTTTTTGCTGTAGGGACTGACACATGTTATTGCAAATGTACTTCCAGGTTCTGAGCACAGGAATTGTGCTAGGCATATACATGCGAACTGGGCCAAAAATCACAGAGGATTGGTGCTGAAGAGACTGTTCTGGCAATGTGCAAAGGCCACTTCTGAAGGGCATTTACAGGCTGCTTTAAGTGAACTAGACAAGCTTGACCCTCAAGCTGGTACAGACTTGCGCAAGAATCCTTTCAAACTGTGGTGCAAAGCTTATTTCAGGACTGAGGTCAAGTGTGATGTTGTAGACAACAACTTATCAGAGGCTTTTAACAGTACCCTAGTCCTCCTAAGAGACAAGCCCCTTATCCCAATGCTTGAGGGCATGAGAGTGGCCATGATGAAGAGAATTGCTAAAAAAAGAAAATATGTCAAGAAGTGGCCAGGTGATGATTTTTTACACTGCTTATTTAGAGTTTAGAATGAAATCAGCCTCCATCATTCATTCATTCTCATCTATGCTATCGTTTGTGCAGGTGCATTTGGTCCCCTCATAATGAAGAAATTGAACAAGAATGTAGTTGCTAGTCAAGGCTGGCATGTTGATTTTAATGGGGATGATGGATATGAGATTAAAAAGGGCAGATTTCAATACAATGTAAGCCTCAACAAAAGGACCTGCGCTTGCAGAAGATGGGATCTATGTGGAATTCCTTGTGCACATGCCATTTGTGCCATTCTAGATAAAGGTGAAGAGCCTGAAAGCTATGTGGACTCATGGTACTCCAAGGAACTGTATGAAAAGACTTACTCATACACTCTGCAACCAATAAATGGAGAAATAATGTGGCCAAGAACCCAGCATGAAGATATTCATCCGCCCATACCAAAGAAAATGAGTGGGCGCCCTAAGAAGAAAAGAGTGAGGGAAGAGAGTGAACCGCGTGCAGCATCAGGGACCCGCCTACCAAGAAAAGGAAGGATCATGAAATGCTCTGTATGTGGTGTGGATGGCCACAATAAGAAATCTTGTTCACAAAGGCAAACACCCAACACAGAAGAAACTGGCACACAAGAAAGGCAAGAGGAAAATAGGAATGCTGAAACTAGAAGAGGTCAAAGGGGTAGAACAAAAAAGGGAGGAAGAGGAGGTGTTCAAAGGGGTAGAGGTGACATGGGGAGTGCTGAAACTGGGCTAGGTGATCATGTGGGTAGTGTTGGAACTGGGACAGAGGAGGGGGGGCAGTATTCATAGGGGAGGAGGAAAGAGGGGGGGGGGGAGGAAAAAGGGGAGGAAGCAAAAGGGGGGGGGAGGTAAGAGGGGGGTATTCAAAGGGGATTTGGAGTTTATTTTGATTCATCCACAGGGATGACCATTTTGGAAGTAAGTTTATCCCATCATTATTTGAAGTCTAATCTTTACATATTCAA